ACGCAGGGCCATTGTGGGTGCACAAAATGGTCGGGGTTCCCAACCCCGACCATTTTGCAGACCCCATTCTAGCCCACATTCACCTAGAAACTCATACTTCATGTAGTACAAAATGTAATCACAAATAACACATGCTAAAATGCAATCATACTCCTGTTATCAATCCACAATGCAATCACAAATACAAATATAATATGTACAATTCATATTTGCAAACTTAACATTATATCAAATCCATCGCAACACAAACAACATATCAAGTCCAAATTGCAACTCAAACGCAAACATCCTATCAAGTCCATCGAAACTTAACAAATATCAACAACGCCCTTTCCCCTCCCTCTTCCTCTCCCTCTCCCTCTCCCTCTCCCTCTTCTTCCTCTCCCCCTTCCTCGATCACCTTCGACGTGAGCTCGGATAAGTTCATCGTCCGGTTGTGTGTAAAGTTGGGAGTGCATGACATCCACGTCGTCTCGAACCGCCTGTGAACATCCGGCCTGAGTCTGCTGTGAGCCGCCAGCTTCATCATGCGCACAGCTTGATCTCGTCCCCGTGTGTCCTCGTCGACGTCGCCGCCCGTACTCAATTGGTCGCTCCTCCCATCCATCACGGCTTGCATGACGCGTCCTCTGAAGAGCCGACCGTATCTTTTTTATCATTCGAATGAACATGTTCCTCGGCTCCTGCTCGGTAGTCGTGCGCAATGCGTCATGTGCCATAGTAGAAAGCTCCTCGAGCTCTTGTACCTATAAAATAAAAACCGAAAGAAAATTATTATCAAGTGGATGGTGAGAAAATAAAACTCAGAAAATAATTGTATATTTTTCTTATACACTTACCAACTCTCTCTCGACTGGGCCTCTTGGTATGTACTCCTTCGGGGCTTTGTTTTCCTAAAATATCCACCGGCGAGTAATCCCCCAATACCACCGTAGGTACACACCTAGGTCAGGTGCATCAGCCCTCTCCATCACTACATGTTCCTTCCTTAATTCCCACCTATTGATGTAATTTCGGCGAATTAGTTCCCAATTAGCACGATGTGCACCTTTTCTTGGATCTCTCTCTATTCTCTCCACAGGCGCTGGAATATGTTGCCGTAGTCCAAATTGTCGAAGCACACGGTCAGGCACGTGCATTTCAACAATCTCAAAGCATATAAGTGGGATGCGAGCACGCCATACATCCTCACCTTCCCGACAAATATCCGGTAGTGACTCCAACACTAGCTCGTAGGGCATCCATTTGACCTATAAAGAAGATATTATGATATATTGATTGAATATATTTAGATATCGGTAACAATTGGTCGCATAATTGAATATATTTAGATATTATAATTTTTATACCTGTTCATCCTCCATCTGATCAAGCTCATTTCTGTAAAAGTTTTCATGCCCCTTTGGAGAGGTTTGCCAAGATCTGGACACATTCCATCTATTTTATATACAACGGGTTAGTATATATTGAAATAAAGCACTAAAATTACATGCATCTTAATAATACCTGCAGCCTAACGGAATATGCCCATCGAGAGCGCGGGCCTCCCTCAAATCAGGTGTTCCCATATGCAATCGCTCCCATGACCATATCTGCAGCAAAGTGAGGCAGCCCTTCAATTCTTTATTTTGTACGAGTGCTATTTTCGTCATCTCTCTATACAAGTAGGCTAACACTGCACTCCCCCAAGATAACTCTCCACACTCTTCTAGGTCCCCAAGAAGCGGTAACCATCTCACGTGCACGGAATCCTTAGTGGAATCCGGAAACAGAATAGTACCGATCATATGTAAAATATATGCACGGGCATAGCGCTTAATGATCTCATCAGTCGCATCGATCGGTACATTACTAAAGTTATTCCTTAACCATTCGAGTTTGATCTTTCCCCCCTTCATTGTAGGAGTGCGACCGAACAATTCTTCACACTTGGTCGCATAATTGAAGTCATCGGTGCCCGTCACTGCATCACCATCTACTCTGTTAACCTCCTCATATTTCCATAAGAGACTTCGTTATTCATGACATTTGACGTTCCACCGAATTGAGCCCGCTCCATTTCACTCGAAGAAGAAAGAAACCCATCGGAATGAACTCCCATATCTAACATGCGTGAGAATTCTCCTGGGGGTTTGAATATTTGGCACGAATTATGTGGCAACTTTTCAATAAACAATTCGACCGTTTGTTGCGACATGCCCAATTTAAACATAATACTCATATGATAATCGTTCGAGATCTCTACTGCGGATGTTCTATCAATAGCTATGGGCCAATTGCATATAATTTTCAGTCGGTATTCTCGTGGGTCAATTTCCGTAACTCGGTGTAATTCCATAACCAAGTCGTAGTAACTATATGATTCCGAGATCATTAATGGCGTCGTTACCCCTCCGACGTACATTGGCATATTATTCATCCCATAATTAATTTGTCCACCATAAGAACAAGCAATAAAAATCATATTGCTCAACCTATTCAAAAGAAAATTATATCATTTAAATATAAAAAATTAAATTAATATGCAAATAATCTCATATAATTTTAACCAAAAACCCTAATTCCCAAATTGTAAATCCTAAACCCTAAAATTCAACAATTGAACATTCTATGCTCTAAAAGTTAATTACATTAATAACAATCATCATACAAATGAATTTCAGCGATAAAACCCACGAAATTCATTTATGAATAAAAACCCTAGAAATTTATTTTTAAGAAAAAAATCCTAGATTTCTACATGTTAAAAGAGGAGAGGAGTAGAAGAAATTACCTAAATCAGTTTAGATAACCTTTGATTTGAATTTCGGCCGAAGAAACCTTAGATCAGAGGCTTGGTTTCGTGAGAACGGGGACGGAAGAGAGAAGAGGGAGGCGGAGAAACGAAATGGAATAAGGGTTCGGTGGGTTCGGCGGCTTTTATATGGGTCCAGAAAGTAGTCGGGTTTCCCAACTCCGACTACTTTTGGCCTTGGCTGAAATGGGCTTCGAATTGGTCGGGGTTACCAACCCCGACCATTTCGTCCGTGGTTGAGCCCAGCGCTTGCTGGGCTCTGCTAAATGGTCGGGGTTGGGAACCCCGACCAATTCGAAATAGGTCTATTACGAATTGGTCGGGGTTCCCAACCCCGACCATTTAGTTAAGCTGTTAGCGGGGGATGGACTAAACAGTCGGGGTTGTCAACCCCAACTGTTTACGAAGCCGATTAAAAAATAATCGACCTGCTTTCTCGCCACGGCGCTGACGTGGCGAGAAACCGGATCGATTTCAGTAAATAAAACATGATACAATCGATTTTGCTAATAAAAACTTAAAATAGGGTTACAGTGAAAATTTGTTCTTTAATCAAATATATAATTGTCTATCCTTGGTTCTCACAGTAATTAAAATTCAGAAAACATATAACTCTGACATAAATAATCTGTGAACAACATTCACATAACACACATTCTAGTAACACAAAATAATATGGAAGATATTACATGTTAGCCTTGAAATAAAGGCTACTTATTAAAAAATTTTCCTTTTCTTTAACCCCCAAAAAAGGCAATCAGCATTAAGTTACAAGCTCAATAAAAAATCAACTTACAAGCTCTAGATTTCTCCTTTATCTAACAATCATACAGCATTATCTTACAAAAAGGAGATAAAAAGATTATAACCCATGTACATCAACCTATGGAAACTATCAGTCACCTTTTTATATAATCTAGTCACAAATAAAAAAGAAAAATATTTGTCTCTCTTTTTATCTGTTTACAAATTTGGATGTAGAGATGGAGTCTGAGAATGGATGATTGCAACTCCTACTGAAAAAGCTTGCAGAGATGAGAGAGTTTGCTGGAAATATATAGTACGTGTATCTTGCCTCGTCGTCAACATTTTCAAATGGGGCTCGCTGTACTTTGTACCCTGAACAATTTAACGGTAACATCAGAGAAATATTGTTGAGAAAAAAAGTGCAGTTATTTCTGAAACATAAATCAGGAAAAATTATGTGATGAGATCGTCGGTTTCCTGTGTTCCCACATTCAATTGAAGATTGACAGGAAAACATGATGCAGGTGAGAATGCACCGTCGGTTTCCTGTGTTCCCACATTCAATTGAAGATTGACAGGAAAACATGATGCAGGTGAGAATGCACCTCAATGTTAAGAAACTCAGGAACAACTGACACAAGTGAACGCAGGTCAGAATTTAGGAAACCCCTGGTTTTAAGTGAATGCAGGTCGGAATCTAACATAACACAGATAGGAAGGGACTAGTATTAATACGACATTCAGCTCAAAGTTCAAAATTACAGGAAATCCCTGGTTTTAAGTGAGTTCAGGTCACAATCTGACATATAACCATCCGGACTACGAAAAAGAAAAGTACATACACTTATCAAGTTTCTATTTTCAGAAAATGTCTATAACTTGATAAGAGAAAGGAATAATATTAATACAACATTCAGCAATAATTATTAAAATACCCACATTCATGAGAGAAGTGCTCTTTGATATAAATCAAGCAAGCACTCCAACATTGGAGTGTTATAACATGCCTAGTAATTTTGTAGAAAAGGCGATGTACTAAAAGGAAATTCGACTGTTACATGATGCAAATACATAAATAAGTCACAATTGAATGCCAACGTAATACAGTGTTAAAACCATGCCAACAAACAATATATCGTCCCACATGCAAAGTACTCTATTACGAAGATATAAAGGAATGAAACAAAATAAAATGAGTAACTCACCTCTATGAAAAGATTTACTGTCTTGGTCTCCTGTGAATCCTCCTTGTGAAAAGCTTCTGTTGAACTTCTATCATGTAGCACCGTTAGAGGACAGCCGATATCCCACCCCTCACAATCACAATGTCCACTAGACCTCCATCTTTCAATAAGAGAAGAGGGCCTACTGTCACCTGTGATGGGCCCACCATGAAAACCATCCGGAATCAAAACATCAATACTGTTTCCATAATTCAATAACGGATCTATTGCAACTTTTTTGAGAAACTTAAGCCCCCAACCGCCCGTTTCTTTATCTTTCTCATGAAAATGCGATGAGCTTTTTACTATGGTAGCAGCTAGCTCAAGATTTGGTTGGAAACCATTTTCAAGTTGAGAGCTTGGTTTGACAATTTTGCTCGTAGACTTGTGCTTCAAAGAATTGCTCGACTTAAGTATTTTGGACACCTTAGATAAGCCTTTATTCTTCATTGCGCTAAAAGTTGAATCTTGCATTTCACTTGAATGGTCTTGGACGCCATATAAAACAAACTCCGTCTCCACTGATTTGGACCCATTTGGATTGAGTATCAAAGAGCTAAATACTTTCATCTTGCCAACAAATTCTTCTGACTTATTACTTGATCTCGAATGGAAGATATATAAGAAGTCCAATGCTTGATCGTTTGATTCAATCTGATGAAAACTAGCCACATATTCTTTCCCGCTATCATTATCCTCTTTGAATAAGATATTGAGAGAATCCTTCTTCCAAACACAATGAAGAAACCCTTTGGAAACAGTAAGATTTGGAGAAGGCTTTGATTGGTGCGAAATTGTGGAATTCTTACTTGAGCGACAGACAAGCAATTTCTCAGAAGCCTTAGAATTGGATATTTCAGTGCTAGGAGAAGTCACTTTGGAAATGGGATCCTTTGATAATGGAGAGCTAATAAACTCGAAAGTCTTCATTGGATTCATACTAAAGGATGTTGCCCTAAATGGTCTAATTGAACCATCTAGTTTTCCTAATTGAAAAATTATCGAGCTCTTCAAAAGGGATCTTCGCATGAAAGTTCTTTTGGCTAATTCAAAGAGGTCAGTGAGATCACTTGCACTTCTTCTTCTTCTAGAATCTCCAAACCGGTCAATGATCATCTCTGAAGGACTCAAGTTTATAGGGATATTAACTAAAGATGATGTTCTACAAAGAAAATCGAGATGGTTTGAGTTTCTATTTTCCACAAAATCTGTATCAAACCACCTGAGGTTCCTATTGACATTGAGAAATTTGATGTAGTGTGGAATACTTAGATTATTCCGAAAAGGATGTCTAACATCCAAAATAAATGGATGCTTCTTCTTGAGCTTTGATACCTTGGAATCTAACTCACCATTTTCCTTTTCATCTTCGTCTTCTAATATACTACCGTTCCAATGTACCAAGACCATTTCTTTTTTCAAACAAGGAATGATCAAAACAAGAGACATATAATAAGCTTCAATCTTCTAACCCTCTTTCACCTCATGCCATGAAATCACAAAGTAGAAGATGGTAGATCTCCAAAGACCTAAGAACTATAAAATAAAAACCAATCAGAAAACACGCAGTAGAGAGAACAACCATACTCGCTGTCTTTTCAGGAAAAATAAAAAGAAAAAAGAAAAATCAAACAACCACCATAATAACAAAGACTTTATCACAAATAACTAAAAAAAAGTCTATGCAAATCAATTTTATAGGGTTAAACAAGCATACCAGAAAAGATAAGCACGATTTGCTGTCCAATTGAGCTCGCTAAGAAGGATCATCTATATACAATGGCAATGGAATATCACTAGGAAGAAAAGCTACCTTTAACAGGATTATTTCGGAGTAAATTTAAGGGGAGTTATATTATGGTAAGTGAATAATGGTACTGCTATTGGCATAAAAGGAAGTCAACTATACCGCTCGTCATCCTTATCTCTCTCTCTCTTTTTTTTTTTGCAAAAACGCGTTTTTTGGATAAAAATAGCTGTTTTCCTAAAATACTTACGGAATAATTTATTCTTCCATAATGCTGACGCCTTTCCACTAAGAAAATGCCTAATAGATCATGAATTGGTGCCTGTGAGGGTTCAATGAACTTCTCTCCAATATCTAACTAGAAGTCTATAAGATAATAAGAAAACGGCGGCAAAAGAAAGAAGATTGACGTGTACTGATCACAAGAGTGATACTAGAATCATACTAAATAAAGAAAGTCATGATCACCATTGCTTATATCATGAGAGTGTATTTCACAGTTTGCACTATAGCTAGACACTATACATGGTTTACTGATAGGTGTTGCATAACATAGAACCTATGTACTTTGAAGAATATAGATACTTCTAATACCCAATAATAAAAGTACGAAAGTGAATATAAGTCTGAAAAATGACTTTATATCTGCCAAATATTACATTCTCTTATATGAGATAACGCTCTTTCAGTTTGACTTTCACATGGTTATATTTGTTATAGTCTTATAAACATTTCTTATGCCTAGTTGTTGAATAACATAAAGCCCTTACGTATCCTCACTACTTTATCAAATGGTAGAAGACAATGTGCTACTATGTATTCTTACAAAAACTTCTTAGATTGTGTTCATACGTTAGACCACGATGGTATTTGTAGACGACATCGGCCACTCAAAAGGTGAAATAAGGCTTTTTTTTAATGCTTAGTTGGCACTACCTATTGCTTTTACCAACTATCTTGGATGTTTCTCTACCAATTGCCATTATGTCTATACGATAAATTCTTCAGCTTAGACCTAGAAATAGAACACATCCATATAATGTCCCAAATGGTACCATAAGGAAATAAATCTTTATATCAATACTCTTTTTTCCAAATTGCATAACTAGTTCACAGGATAGCAGTTGACAAATAAAAAAGGATATACAGAAGAAAAAATAATACCGAAAACTACAAACATGACCAAAAGTACAATTGAATTAGATGTTGCCGAAATAAAAGAAAATCCTAAATAAGAATAAAATATGTAATAAACGAGAATCCTAAATTAGAAGATAATATCTGCTAATAGATATAAAGTGTGGATTAATTCTAGAATTCCAAACTAACTTCAGCTTGTTCATTCCTCAAATTGTTTGTATAACAAAAAGCCACCTTTGTCCACACTTTGCTTTTTTCACCTTGTAAAATTCCTAACATCATAATTGTATGTCTAAGACACATATCCAGTGTAAGAAACACTTGGTCCTGTAGATTCTATGCTACTTCACACTGAATTATAATGAGCAAAAGCAAATAAGACCTCAAAAGAAAAGAAAATGCGGCTTCAGGACCAGTTCAATTGCCAACTTTCTGCAGTGTAATCCCCAGCAAAAATTTGGCCAGCCAATCTTCTCCTTATTATGATTTATCTTCTTCTTATCTCAATTGAAAAGGCAATCTTTCCACTCCTTATTCACTAAATTGTTGAGATAAAAAAGAGCTGTAATAGATAAAAATTGCAAAGTTTACTGAAAAAAAAAATGCAAATCCTCACCTTTGTAGCAGAATCCCAGAGATACCCAGAAGCTGAAACCAGATTCAGAGCTTAAATCACCAAGCCCATCAAAATTTACAACCACCCCCTTCCTTTATCTTGCTTTCTCCACTTTAATCACTCTACAAGAGACCCAAAAAGACAGAGAAAACAGAGCCAAAGTGAAGTGACTCTCTACCCTTCAACTTCCATTGGGTATTTTTTTTACTGATTGGGTACCAAATCCTTGTCTTCTCAAGTTGATATACAACAAATCTCGATGCGTTTTTTGATGAGAAAATAACAAAAACAAGAAAAAAGTGTCGCATTTGAAAGAGAGGGTTTGGGGATAGAGAAAACAGAGGAAGAGCCATGTGCAGGTTCTTTGGTTCTGTATTGCTTGGTCCTCTTTTGTGGGACCCAGAGTGGGGTCAACTGGTTTGGGTCAAGATTCTGGGTGCAGATACCTAACACATGCACGAAAAAAATGAAGGAAATTGCGAAGTGGGGAGAACACGATAGATATCGTTGCCTAATAATGGAGTTGACGCGGGTTGATCCTGTGATGGGATCAGCTGTTTGGGCCTTCACACCAAACACACTTTTTCTTAGGGGGGCACTAGAGTCACACCCCCAACCACAACTCTAACCACACCTCCTCTCTTATTTGCTACAGTAAATTTTTAAGATTCATCTTTTGTGATATCAAACACGAAAAGCAATGCATTTTTCTGTCATAAGTTAAAAGACTCTCTTTGAGGTAACTCAATGAACTTTAATATGCTCGGTCTCTGCCCAACATCAAAAGAGTAATCAGTACTCAATTCCTAACATAATTTTCATATGAACCTAATCATCAGAGCATCCACAAACTTGAGCCCACTAGGCATGTGTCATGAGGAAAATTAACCCCTAGTTCGTAGCCCTCTGAGCACCAATGCATTTTTTCATCCATCAATCTAAAATTTTGTTCCTTAGATCTTGTCACTCGCAGCTCAAAGTCACGTGACAACTCCTATGAGTCTCTTGTATTAGCAATTTCGAGCCATACTCACATTGCATCAAAAAAATATATACATGAATGGATGATATGATAGAGTTTATTAAAATAGTTGATAGAGCATTCTGATATGATTGATCACGTGGGGGAATCTTATTTAGAATGCATAAAATGATTTCAAGGGTTTAATAGTTTTAAACCCAAGCAAGCTGTTTGCTGTTCAAGAGCTAATGCCGAAGGCTAAATATAGGGCCTATATTTCCTGACTCCAAACCTTTAAATAAAATTTACTACTGTTTCTGGATGACATATACCTATGCAATTAATGGCAACTGCGGCGGCGAGCGGGGATCACGGTGTAACGGGACATTTTAAGAGCAATTCGTGGGCCCGAACCTACTGAAACCATGTAACTTATTTCTTTTCTCTATGGGCCTGTTTGTTTCGGCCAAAAAATGCAGAAAATGAAGGAAAATGGCATTTGGGAAAACTGACAGAGGGTGAATTTGTTACTTCTCCTCACAATCGGATGTTTGCTTCGTAAAAAAGAAAAAAGAAAGCGAAGAAAAGTGCGGGCAATCTGACAGCTTTTTCGCCCTTCCATTTTCCGCTCAAAAACTCCTGATTACAGCGGAAAACTCCTCTTTCTCTCTCCCGTACAAAAATCGCCGATTGCTCTTCCCCTTCCATTCTCGTTCTGGTTACCCCTCTCCTGCTCCCGCCCCTTTCTCCCGCTCCCGCCCTTCTCTCCCTCCCGCCCGAATCAACCAAGAATTTCGACCTCCTCCTTCCCTCCCGCCTTCCAATCTAGGGCTCAAGCTATTCTCCCGCTGCGGCCTCCCGTCCACCCACTCCCTCTTCGGCGTCGACATCGCTGTCCTCGCCGACGACGCCCTGTTCCCCCTTGCCCTCCACCACCACACCTCCTACCCCCGAGTCGTCCACCTTTTGGGTCTGTTTGGATCGCATTTGCGCTGTCTGACACCGATTGAAACCCTAGCCTTCGAACAAAAGGGAAAACACGACAAGATCTTGGTTGATTTATGGAGGTACAATGCTAAAAATCAATTCTTTTGTATTTATTTAATTTTTTATGGCTTTCATTTATAGAAAAGTGCGGGCAATCTGACAGCTTTTTCGCCCTTCCATTTTCCGCTCAAAAACCCCTGATTACAGCGGAAAACTCCTCTTTTCTCTCTCCCGTACAAAAATCGCCGATTGCTCTTCCCCTTCCATTCTCGTTCTGGTTACCCCTCTCCTGCTCCCGCCCCTTTCTCCCGCTCCCGCCCTTCTCTCCCTCCCGCCCGAATCAACCAAGAATTTCGACCTCCTCCTTCCCTCCCGCCTTCCAATCTAGGGCTCAAGCTATTCTCCCGCTGCGGCCTCCCGTCCACCCACTCCCTCTTCGGCGTCGACATCGCTGTCCTCGCCGACGACGCCCTGCTCTCCCTTGCCCTCCATCACCACACATCCTACCCCTGAGTCGTCCACCTTTTGGGTCTGTTTGGATGGCATTTGCGCTGTCTGACACCGATTGAAACCCTAGCCTTCGAACAAAAGGGAAAACACGACAATATCTTGGTTGATTTATGGAGGTACAATGCTAAAAATCAATTCTTTTGTATTTATTAATTTTTTTATGGCTTTCATTTATCGAATTCCTTCTTCCTTTGACGTCAGGTTTAAAATATGTCTAAGTTTGGGTATTTTGACCACCATTTCCCACTACGATTTGCACAAACGACTTCAAATCCGTAGTTGTTGCTTGGTAGGTGTAGATATTGGAGATTATCTACTACGGTTCTCTGCTTTCTGCCACTAGGAAGGTAAAATTTTTTACTGGTGGTTATTCTGTGTATTTTTCCAGTCTGCATGTCATGTATTGGAGGATCTATTTTAGTTTATATAATTTTATTTGGTTGTTTTTTTGAGATTTTGGTATGCAGACATCTAATTATTATTTGAAAACTTTGATTGTAGAAATTATTAATAGCTTATCTAACTAGTCTTAATTTGATATGTATAATCCTTGCAACGTATATCTCATAGAAAAAATCCATAGTATGAGCTTGTATCTTATCTGACTTGTTCTCATATGATGCGTTGGAGAAATCAATTTTGCAACTTATATCTCCCAAAATAAAGCAAGCATAGATGATAAATTCATTATTGTAAGAGGATCAAGGTGAATTTGATAATTATGAGAGTATCCTACATATTTCTAGTGCGACGTTTGTATTTTGATTAAATAGTTTGATTATCTGCAGCTAGGAGAATTTGTCAAACATTTCATAAATAATTAGGATAATTTTCTTAAAAGATTTTGATCATTTGCATTTAATGTTGGTATTTGCTTTAATATGATGTTTGTATTTTAGATGGATGGTGATCTCGATGAAGAGACAGTAATTAATATGTGTTCGGGTGCTGCACTATCTGTCTTAGTTTTGGTTATGACCTTCATGAGGAGAATGCAAAGCAGACGTAGATCTATACGTGCAGGTCCTAGTGTTGAGAAAACAAAACAAAATCAAAATAGAAAACAACACTTGAATCGTATATATAATGGATTTAGTGATAGTTGTGTCAACTATGTTCGAATGCGTAGTGGTGCTTTTGTGAAGCTTGCCGGGATAATGAGGAGGAATGATTTATTGCGAGACTCAAGACATGTTACAGTGGAGGAGCAACTTGCTATGACTTTGAATATTTTGGGGCATAAAACTAAAAATCGAAGTATTAGGTCACATTTTATTAGATCTGGTGAGACTGTGAGTAGGTATTTCAACAAAGTGTTAGAAGCAATTTGCCTCATACGATCACGTTTTTTAAGACAAGCACATAATGAAGTTCCATAGGAGATCCTTAGCAACCCTCTATACTATCCTTATTTCAAGGTATTCTCTCTTTAATTTGTGATTATAAGCATGTTCATCTAATTTAATTAAAAATATTCAATAATAACTTTTTGTCCTCTAGGATTATATTGGTATGATAGATGGGACACATGTTGATGTTATGCTACCTGCTAATCTTCAACCACGATTCCGTGGTCGAAAAGGTGTTACACAAAATGTTTTAGCGGCTTGTACCCCAAACAAGTTATTCACTTACGTATTAGCTGGATGGGAAGGTTCTGCAAATGACTTTAGAGTCCTTCAAGATGCATTGTCTAGACCACAACCTCATGGTTTGAAAGTATATGATGGTAATTTCATCAATTCTTCAATTTTGTTTTAATTACTTCAATTAATAAATGATATTCAATGAAATGACAAAAAATTCTACTAAACACTTTCACATCATATAAATTGTAGGAAAATATTACTTGTGTGATGCGGGATACACGACCATGCCGGGTTTCATCTCCCCATATCGTGGTGTTCGTTACCATTAGAAAGAACAAATAGGAAGAACACCTAAAAATAGAAGGGAATTGTTCAATCTTAGACATTCTTCTTTAAGGTCTAAGATCGAATCTACATTTGGTTGTTTGAAGAATCGTTTCAAAATTCTTACCACAAAGCCTCATTACCCTTTCCGCGCACAAGTGGATATCGTATTAGCTTGTGCAGTTCTTCACAATTATATTACAATGGTGGACCCGGATGATGACATATTCAATGAGACCGTTGAGATCGAAGATGAAGAAGGTGATGTTGCTACAGAAGATGAGAATAATATTGTTGATTTCTCTCAACCCCAAACTCTAAGGGAGCAAACACAATCAAGAATCGTATGAAAGGATCGTAGAGATGAAATAGCTTGGGCAATGTGGGTTGATTATTGTGAAAAATATAAGGGAGGGAATACTAATGAAGTAGGCATGTGATGCAATGTGTTAGATATACTATCTTATGTTATGCATTTTTCTATTTCATGTACTTTATTTTATGATGGTGTGATGCAAAACTATGTAAGGTTAATTGAGGAACATTTGTATGTTACAATTATGTGTTGTATCGATTTTTCTATTTTCATGTACTATTATGTGTTAATTTAACATTTGTATGTTACAATTATGTGTTGTATCGATTTTTCTATTTTCATGTACTATTATGTGTTAATTTAGAAACATTAGTATGCTACTATTATGTGTTGTATGGAATTTTTTCTTAGGACACTTTCTTTACTCAACTTACGTTATTTTTTCACATTTCTCTACAACTATTTTCTAGGTATGGCCGACAACTTCAATTGTGAGGAACTTGATAAGGTCAAAGGCAAGAGTACAACATCAAATTCATCACCTAGAACCCCAAGAAATTCATCAATCCCTTGTGGGTTCAATCCGGGATTTATGCCTTATCACTCTTCACAAGTTGGCCAAGGTTCTAATTTTTGGAA